TAGATGACTTAAAACAAATGATTAGCTTAAAAATACCCTTAGGTAATCATCAGAGGTGAATACTCGTATTCAGGGCTGATGATTATTCAAATCAATTCTTATAGCATAAACATTTGTGCACCATAGTATGTTAATTAGAGTGAAACATATTTTTAAACTGAAATATGATCTTTTTACCCTCTCTTTTTGTATATATGAAATAAAAATTCAGGTAAAATATCAGCACAATAGAACAATATTTAGGAATAGCTCAATGACAGTGAACTTTCTGGTACTCTAAAGCTTTTTGTTGTTGTTGATACTAGATTTATTGTCACAATTAATTTGGAACACATTTTTAACAAACGAGTAAATTGACACTTTATTCAAACATCATGCACACAACATTTATATCAAATTTTATATCTGTTTAGATTCCATTCAAATTTTATATCTGTTTAGTTTCCATTCAAACTATCATTTTGCTGACAATGCAAAATTTCTACAAACTCGTATTTGTATTCCAAACATTTTCAAACTTGTTCACTGTTTGGACTAATTAGTGATTATAGATTCATGATTAAGCATTAACCAACATTTGACTTGTTTAATTGTTTGAGTTCTAATTAATACAAATGTCTAAAGTAATTGCCTTGATTAACCAACATTTGACTTGTTTAATTGTTTGAGTTCTAATTAATACAAATGTCTAAAGTAATTGCCTTGATTAACCAACATTTGACTTGTTTAATTGTTTGAGTTCTAATTAATACAAATGTCTAAAGTAATTGCCTTGATTAACCAACATTTGACTTGTTTAATTGTTTGAGTTCTAATTAATACAAATGTCTAAAGTAATTGCCTTGATTAACCAACATTTGACTTGTTTAATTGTTTGAGTTCTAATTAATACAAATGTCTAAAGTAATTGCCTTGATTAACCAACATTTGACTTGTTTAATTGTTTGAGTTCTAATTAATACAAATGTCTAAAGTAATTGCCTTGATTAACCAACATTTGACTTGTTTAATTGTTTGAGTTCTAATTAATACAAATGTCTAAAGTAATTGCCTTGATTAACCAACATTTGACTTGTTTAATTGTTTGAGTTCTAATTAATACAAATGTCTAAAGTAATTGCCTTGATTAACCAACATTTGACTTGTTTAATTGTTTGAGTTCTAATTAATACAAATGTCTAAAGTAATTGCCTTGATTAACCAACATTTGACTTGTTTAATTGTTTGAGTTCTAATTAATACAAATGTCTAAAGTAATTGTCTTGATTTACAAATTGAATAAAAGTAGATTTGAATGAATGAATGAAAGTAGATTTCTTTAAAGTTGCTGATTGACGATTGATGTGACTGGAACCTTTTTTGATTCTTATCCATTGTTGAGTTAAATGAATTTTTTTTTTTGAATGTTTTGAGTATATAAATGAATAGTAAATATATACTAAATAGTAAATAAATGACACAAATAAATAAATTGGATTTATGTGATGTAATTCTTCAAAGTAACTTTTATTAAAATTATATTTCTCTCAGATTCAATTTCAACTGAAAATGTTCTCAAAACGAAGCTATATATCTCATATACTTCTGCCCCATCAAAACTTCCCATAAAGATGTCAAAATTAGGATCTCCAAGTTTTTTGACCCAGATAAAATTGTGTTCAGTAAACAGTAATGATTTTCTTGAGTGATTTATAATATCTAATTTTTTTTCTGAAATTTACAAAAATGATGATTTTTACTTTATTGTTGATGTTTTCCAGTAAAATATTACTAACTTTTCCAAGTTCTAGTTTAGATGCGGTAGTGGTGTAATGGTAAAACACTCACTTCATAAGCGAGAGGTTCCGAGTTCGATCCCCACCACGTCCCTGGTAGTACCGCGCTCAACTTGTTTCTCTGCGCAGCGGCCTTGTTCGTCAAGGTTCGTGTTTCAGAGTTATAGAGTTGAGAGAGGGTTATAACCACTATTAAGTAGGCTCCTCGTCTGTAGTGGCCTTCTCGCCCCTGAGGAGGTGAATAACATAAATAATGATATTTGCAAAACTAAATCATCAGAAAAAATGTTTCTTTTTGTGGATAAATCACATAATATTTACAAACCTGAAAAATCTTCTTATAATAAACTTTTCAATGAAAACGTAACAAGAACTTGCAAAAAATTTGATTTTTCACAACATAATAACATTAATATAGCAGCTAAAGTAATTGCAAATAAAGGGGTTTGATATTTTTTAGCTTGCAATTGTGCTGGAGTTAATAGAGGTTTTTAAGCTATATGCAGTTTATCTTTATCTTTCAACACACATAGATACTTTAGTGCATTGACTTTTTGCCTTTTTTAAAGACATGCAATCCTAATTAACCTTGTGCTGTGAAAGCAAGAAAATGATTAACAGATAACTAAAAAGATTAAAAATTATATGAATCAGAAAAAAAAGATAAAGGAAGAGAATTCCAAAGAACTGATGTTTCAGGAAAAAAACTTGATGAATAAGAATTTAGGAGCACTTATGAACAGTCACAGTAAAAGGATGAGACTTAATTGAATGACAAGTAACACAAGAATGAATTTTAGTAGATGGCACAAATGATGCTAGCTTTTTAGAGCAGCGCCCATTATAGTATTTATAGAAAAGAGAAAAAGAAGCAACATTATGGCGATGTGACAATGGTTGAAAGTTGGTTGCACTTTTTTCTTTAAACACTCATTCCCATCATTCCAGTGTCTTGTCTTTTAAACTTTTACGTGCAAGCGTGGATTAAACTCTTACTTAAGTTTAATACAAGCTTTCAATTGTGATTTTAATTTCAATTTGGAGTTAATAAAGGTTCCTTAACTGGTCTTTGTGCAACTAAACCAAAGTCATAACACAACCTTCTCCTAAATATTCTCAAACTAATAGTAGTATCTCTGAACCTCAAACTAATAGTATTACCCCCTTTCCATAGCAAGTTGTGATTATCTTTGTAGATGTCTTCTCCTAATGTATTCATAAGTTTTCTACCATATTTTTGGCAATTTGTTAAGTCGTCCACACATAAAGTATTTTGCATGACACACCTTAATTTTGTTTTGATATACTTCTTTGAGAATAGTGCACTTCAAGAATAACCCTCTGAAAATAGTGCACTTATTTAAAAAAGTTATTAATATCACACTTTCTAAAATATGTTAAAATATATTTAATATACAGTGGGCGGCTAAATTATTAGTTGCAGTTTGTTTTTTTACAAGAACTTTAATTAAATTTTTAAATGAATAAATTTGCTTCTACTCTTACATTCTTTGAGATTTTAATATCAATAATTGTTTTCTATACTTTTTTTATGATGTTGTAACATTTATAAATAATTGTGGCAATTTTTAGAATTGATAAGCTTGAATAGGTGAAAACATGTGAAATGCGCCTTTATACATATTTGTGGCAAAATTGTTATTTGCTTGATAACGCGTGCGTAATAAATAAATAAAGAAATATCTGCTTTAGTAAAACATTCAAATTCATTTCCAAAAAAAAGTTGCAAATTTAGCTAAAGTTTCTGTGATGACAGTAAGCAGAATTAAAGGTAAGCTTGATAAAAAAATACCTGTACAAAGTTCCAGAAGTGGAAAATGTGATCAACCATGCATCACTACCCCAAGAGATGAAGGGGTAATTTGTAACATTTGTGTTAAAAACCAAAGAAAAAACACAAAAGCAATTACTAAAATCATACAAGAAGCCAAAATCAAGATTTCTAACAGAACTACAAGGCATTGAATAGTAGAATTGGGATTTAAATGCTACAGACCTGCAAGAAAACCTAAACTAATGCCAGAAATGAAATTAAAACGTCTCACTTGGGCAAAACAAAACCTACATATGTCTGCTGAAGATTAGGAAAATGAAAAAAAAATATTTATTTATTACAATAGCTTCACTGACTAAAACATTTATATGTGTATTTATATTATTATTTTTATTTGTTTTCAGTTGTATTTCTCAGATAAGTCCCAGTTTGAAATATTAAGTCTTCTTTTGTTAGGCGAAGTAAAGAAAAAAATATAACCCAGACTTTGTTATGGAGACCATAAAACACCCTCTAAAAGTGATGGTGTGGTCAGTTATAAGTGGTAATGGCAGTGGCCTTCTTTATATAGTTAAAGGGATGATGAACCATGATAGATATAAAAAAGTTTTAGCTACCAAATTATTTCCTCATTTACATGATAGGTTTTCTTATCCATCCAAATTCATTTTAATGCATGATTCTGACCCATGCCATAAAGCTAATTTAGTGACAAGATATTTAAAGTTGAAAAATGTTACTGCTTTGCCATGGTCTGGCAATTCTTTCAACTTAAACCCAATAGGGAATGCCTGGGAACTTTTAAAGCGGATAATTGGGCCCATAACCAACATAACAAATCTCATTGAGGTGCTAAATAATGCCTGGCATAATGATCAGGAATTAAAAGCAAATGTAAAGAATTGCATCCAAAGTATGCCAAGAAGGAGACAAGCAGTAATTGATGCAAAAGGCAGCCCAACCAAACTCTAAAATACATTTTGTATTATGATTTCTGTTAAATAAATGCTTGAAAATTGTAATAGTGTTTAAATAAGCGTTTTACTTTTTAAAGAAAAATATTTATTTAAGCTAGTAGCACTAATATTTATATAACAGTTAAAATACATAAAAGAGCTTTTAATGGGTAATATTATAATTTTTACAAATGTAAATAATAAATTGGCCATCCACTGTTTCTATCAAAATATCTTCAAAAATCAAAATAAAATTAAAAAAATTATTTGTATCCAAAGTAATCACGCTAGAAATCAACAATAAGTTAAAAAATTTTTAATTTTTGGGATTTCCGAAATTTTTAGCCACTACTGTATGTATAACTTTTATAAATGAGTAAACTTTATAGATTTGGATTATATTTAGATAACAATTCTTTTGAAATTTTTTGGATGTATTTCACCATTGTATTTTTATTTTAAAACAATTTTTAGGTTATTACAGCATTACAAAAATCAATCAAAGCAACAGAACAGCAAGGTTTTCAATTGGCTGCAGTTGTTGATAAAGAGGTTTTTTTATTTGTTCTTGCATTTTAACAGTACCAATTAAAACAAAAATTTAACATTATTATGAAATATTATTTTAAAGATAATAAAATCATTATCTCTGTTTTGAACTAGGTTCTTAAAACAACATTGAAAAAATATCTACTGGCTTTATGTGTTTTTTTTTTTAATAAAATATTAAATTTAAAATTTTTTTTGAATAAAAAATATTTTTAGGGTTACTACAGACAGTAGGGGTTGCTACAGACAGTTTCTACATTCAACATTTAACTAGTCTCTAATATTACAATTTTTTTTTTTTTAGAATCTATGTGTTTTTGGGTCTCAATCAATAAAATTTTTTTTTCAAAATTTAAAAAAAAGTTATAGTTTAATGATATATATATATATATATATATATATATATATATATATATATATATATATATATATATATATATATATATATATATATATATATATATATATATATATATATATATATATATATATATATATATATATATATATATATATATATATATATATAATCATGAAGAACTATTACTCAAATGAAAATATAAATATATATATATATTTTCATCTGAGTAATAGTTCTTCATGATTGAAACTAAACACACAAAAACAACTTAATGCTTGAAAATTAACAAAACCTTATTGTTTTTAAAATGATAATTTCAAAGAAAGTTAATGCATTTTTTAAATTTAAACTCGCAAATAATTAACTTTCAAGTTACCTGCTTATGTTAATTTGTTTAAAATTATGCTTGCGCATACAGATTTTCATTAAATTTAAAAAAGATAATAATTTTAATTTTAATTTAATAATGTTCAACTAATTTAAAGTTGAATTTTTTTTTTAAAAATCAAAAAAAATAATATACAATATTAAAAAAGTTTAAACTGAATATTTAATACTAAAAGAAATTGTTTTATGAATGCTATTGAAAAATAAAAGCGTTGTTTGTCTCTTTTTATTTGCCTCCATTAAGATGGTTTGACATTTGATGGTTCTATTACAATTTAATAATAGAAAGGAAAAAAATTTGTGTAAATGCGCAATTGATAATTTCAAATTTATTTTAAAATAGTTCATTTATTGCAATGGTTTCTCATCGGCAGATAAAGCTAAGAAAAAAATAAATGAAAAGATTAAATAAGTGTATTATACGTAAAGTTATCAAAAGTTATAAATCATCAAAAACAGCATCATACTAATTTTTCTTTTATGTGATATATCGGTCTAATTTGTATAGACTGTCATCAAACATAAAATACCAATTTAAAAACCGTTACAAAATAGGATATTAAAAACCATAAAATAGTCATTACAAAGATGACATCAATAAAAATTGTTTTGTTTTTTTATAATTTTCTTAAATAGTGGTGACAAAGTTAAAGAGCAAAAAATAAATACACAAAAAGAATTTCAACAAAAAATGGGACTTATTGTTGACTAACCAAAATATGGAGGATCTGGAAATTCAAATGATGGCAATACTGCTCCAAAAGCCTTTTTAAAGTAAGTTTTCCTTATTTTGTCTGGAGGCCACAAAGCTCTATTCATACTTGTACCATTGTTATTACATGCCTCAGAGTTTCCACAAGATCTTAATTCATGGTGCAGAAGTAATAGAGAGTCTATTATTGCCAATAGGTTTTTTAGTGAAGATGCTCAAGAAGCTATAAATAAATAATTTAGAAAATATACAGAACATCATCCTGTAAAAATTCATCTGATCCAGTTATTTCATCTTATAGAAAAACTGTTTCACCGATAAAAAAAAATTTCCTCCGGGTGTTATTGAACTTTTTATTTGCAAAAATTCTACGTTCTAGAATGAAGACCAACATAACTCATAATAAATATATAATAAAATAATAGAATAAAGATTCAACATAATTAAAAAAAAAAAACTATATAGATTTTTTATTTTTATATAGATTTTTCAGTTTTTAGCAATAAATATGAGATTAATATTCAGGGTTTGTATAATAAATTTGTTTAATATAATTAATAAAATTGTTTGTATAATAAATTTGTTTAATATAATTAATAAAATTGTTTGTATAATAAATTTCTTACAGTTCTGTTAAGTTAAAAAAATATTTTTTGCACAAAAAACACAGTTTTGTCCCACTGTGCGCTGAATAAAAGAAGCAAGAAGCAGCAGCATACCTACAAATATGTCTAGTCCCTTTACAGTAAACTTTTATAAGGGCCACTAACCTATTTTCTCCCGAAAAAAAATTAATAATAAAACAAGTAAAATAAAAAAATTGCCTTTTTAAAGCTATTTTGTAAAAATTCTTTATTTCTAAAAAAATAATATGCAAACTTTAAAGGTACAAAAATTAATTGAGAAAAAAAGTACTGCCTTCCTTGCCCAGGAAAAAAATTTAACATGTTCATCGGGACTACACAAAAGCTAAAAGTTCTAACAAGTTAAGTCTAACAAGTCTGAAAGATAATGTAAAATCAAAAAAAGATTAAAAAAAGTGGAGTTTCCCAGTTGGCTCTAAAAACAGTTTTAACATGCACGTTTATCACAACTACACAAACACTGAAAATTTCAGACCTCTAGCTAGTCTGAAAGGTAGTGAAAAATCCATTGCGAGATTCCGGGACAACTGATAATCGACAAACAACTTGTGAAGTCAATGTAACGGTTAAAAAAAATTGTAAGTTTATTCAAAAGCGCTATTTTAATTGAATGATATTTTATTTTTCTAATTTTCCTTGGGCAGGTTGGACACCAACGCTACTAAAAGAAGGTTATTGGGGTGCCCACAAGCTATAGTAGAAGATTGACCAGCTTTCCTTGCCATCTTTTTTCAGATAGATTACGTATTATAAAATGCGCTAAAAGATTATATCTGATAAACACTTCTTTTATCAAAAATATGTTATATTGCATCATATTACCTTAACAAAATATTAGATCGAAAAAGCAAATACTAAAACAAAAAAACTGCAGAAAAAGCGACCTCTAATGGAACAGTAACTTAGTCATAGTTTGCATGAATGGGTAGAAGTCAGTAGCGTAGCAAGAATTTATGCACCTTTCAAGTAACAGTTACTCATTTAAAAAACTAGACTTAAGTAAGTTTTACACGTTACATAATTTTATGTAAAAAAACATGAATTACTTTTAAATATAAGTAAATTATATATTTTAATGAGTTATGTATATATGGTGAATAAGCATAAGATATATTAAATATTAATATATCTCATGCTTTATTATAATATATATTATAAGATATATTAAATATTAATATATTTTATATAAATATTAAAGGATCATTACATAAAACACCTTCTCAGTTAAATCTGAATGAAAATATTATCACAGAGCATGCCACTGTTTCAAATATATTTAATAACTACTTTGTCTCTATTCGTGAAAAACTACTAAATAATATTATGCCATCAGAATATACTTATAGTGACTTTCTTAATTTTCCTAATGCTAATTCTTTCTTTATTGATCCTGTTAGTGAAGATGAGGTATCTAGTCTTAATAGTAATAATAGCATACCTACATTTTTTCTTAAACTTACCTCTCACATAATCTCCAAACTTCTTAGCATTATGATAAATAATTCGTTTAAAAATGGCGAATTCTCTGATGTTTTTAAAGTAGCTCAAGTCATTCCAATTTATAAAGCAAGCTCCTTACTAGACTTTTCTAACTATCGACCCATTTCCCTTCTTTCCAACCTAAGCAAACTTTTTGAGAAGGCTATGCATAACAGACTATACAAGTTTCTAGATAAATTTAAATGCTTGTACCAACATCAATATGGACTTTGAAGCAAACATTCTACAACCCTTGCACTTATTGAAATTACTGAGAAGATTAGAAGAGCTCTAGATAATAAACACTTTGCATGTGGGGTGTTTGTAGATTTGCAGAAAGCTTTTGATACTGTGGATCACTCCATCCTTCTCACAAAATTAGAATACTACGGAATCAGAGGCATCCCACTAAAATGGTTTACTTCATATCTCAAAAATAGAACACAGTTTGTTTCCATTAATAGCACTAAATCTGATTTACAGAATTGCTCAAATGGTGTCCCACAAGGTTCAGTTTTAGGACCACTTCTTTTTCTTCTTTTTATTAATGACTTGAATACTTCTTTTAAATTTGCAACTGCTTACCATTTTGCTGATGATACTAACATGCTACTGGTTGGCAAACCACTTAAAAAAATCAACAAACATATTAATCATGATCTTGGAAATCTTGTCAGTGGCTTCGTTCTAATAAACTTTCTCTTAATTCTAACAAAACATAGCTTATCATCTTTAAATCCAATCTGACACCAATTAAAAAGCAATTAAATTTTAGACAAAGTGGACAAAAAATTTATCCTTTAGACTCTATTAAATATCTTGGGATTAAAATTGATTCTAATCTTTCTTTTCAAGGCCATCTGAATGACTTAGCAATGAAACTCAGCAGATCTAATGGAATGCTAGCCAAAGTCCGCCATTATGTTAATCTAGAAACTCTGCTAAATATATATCATGCTATATTTGGGTCCCATCTAAGATATGCATGTCAAATATGGGGACAATCCCATAAACAATTCATTTTAAGGTTGTCCCATCTCCAAAATAAAGCCTTGAAAATAATATATTTTCAGTATAATATCTCTAAATCTAATGTACTAAAAATAAGCAATCTTGTGGTATTCCTCAACTGCCTATTTGTCTGAAATTATCATCACAAAAACCTTCCCCTATCATTCAACAATTTCTTTTCAATTACAAATTGTCACTATCCTCTTCGCTCCATCAGTAGCTTAAGCTTAGTTATTCCGAAACACCAATCTGCTAAATATGGAAATAAATCCATTAAATATCAATGTATTATCTCATGGAACAAACTACCTCCTGATCTAAAATCTCTTAATTCAATCTCTGAATTCAAAATCAAGGTTTTTAATTATCTGTTAAAAAAATACAATTAAATATATTTCTACCAAATAATATTGACATTCTTTACTATATATGTCAATTCGTAATCCTTCAGTTTTTAATTTGATTTTTTTAACATTTTGAAATTCTCTACTTATCTATCTACATCTAATTTCTCAAATTTTCTATCTGCCATTTTTAAACTTTATTATTAAACTATCTATACTAATATTATTAATTATAGTACGAATAGGTTGGCATTCTTTATTTATCTATCTATTTATCTCTTTTCATTCAAAAATTCTCTATTTCTCAACTATTCTACTTCGTACTAAATCTTTGTTGTTGCCATCACTCTTTACTAAATTTTTGTTGCTACTGTTATTGTCTTTATTTATAAAATTCTTCTCTTATTATAATTGTTATTATTTCGTTACTATTATTATTATTGTTATAATTATTATTTTTGTTGTTATTGCTATTATTGTTCTTATCACAATCATTGTTATTATTGTTATTACTATTATTATTGTTATTATTGTTATTACTATTATTGCTATTATTACTATTATTATTATTATTATTATTATTATTATTATTATTATTATTAGTATTATTAATAACAGTTATTATTATTACTTTCATCATTGACTATAACGTTACGTTGTATATTGAGGTATTTACTTTATATTAGTACTTGTACTATTGTAAATTTCCTTGAAATGTTATAATTTATTTCGAAATATATTTGATTTGATTTGATTTGATTTGTAAAATATTTTACGCTTAAAAATAATTTGCATTTTTACATCAAAATAAGTAAAAGAGCCAACCCTAATAAAAGTAATATTTTTTGAAAAGTTGTACTATTAATTCATATTTAAATAAAATATCATTTTGACTTTGAATTTAGGGTCGCTCTGCAATATTCAATGGTAATATGACAGAAAGTGTAAATGTTGCTGCTACATGCAAGGTAAAAAATTTTTTAAGAAAACTAAAATTATTTTATATAAATTTTAAAATACAATTGCATTGTTTAATAGTTTAAATAATAAAAGAATTGCATTATTTTCTTTAACTGTTTTTTTTTAGACATAAGTAAAATATGTTTAATATATTATAATAAAATATATATAAATAAAATATATACTTGAGAAAAACTTCAACTTGAGAAAAAACAACTCTAAAGTACCAGGCAACCAAAATAGTTTGTGCAGTTTTGAAGGTTAAGAAACAGTTACACAAAAAATGGGTTTAATTTAAATTAATTATTACAAAAAAATAATTAAAAACATTCTTCAATTTATCAAAGAGTATAATACAATTTCTTTTATTTATACCCTTATAATACAATTTCTTTTATTTATACCCTTATGTTTTATTTGAACAAGATTCTAATAAAGCTATTACAAGTTGAATGATTTATTTAATAAAAAAAGTCAATGTTTTTTTATAACCATTTCTTGCTTTGCTTAGCAGGCAAAATTTAAAATATTTGAAACAATTCTTCTTACTAAGATGAATAAAAAGAAATAATCATTGAGTTATCATAGAAAAATAACAATCTTTTTAGTAGTTTTTAAAATGTTTAAAAAAAAATACTGCAATGTGCCAGTCCTGAATCAGCAGTCTATAATAATCATTATCCAAAATGCAGACTAAGTATACATTTAATAAATTAAAATTTTACTGAAGTCCATTAGTTTATTATGCTATAATATAAATTAATATATAAAAAATATATTACATTTTAAGTGAACTATAATTTTATTTTGCAAACTAAAAATTTTTTATTACATCAAATTATTTGAAAGCTTTATAGCTTTTATAGATTTAAAGCTTTATTTATTTAAAACTTTATAGTTAGATTAATAATTTAAAAATAATTTCTGAAGAGGAAGTGGAACTGGTTTGCAATACTGTTGATGATGTTTAGTGAGTGATTAGTGAGTGATACTGTTGATGATGTTTAGTGAGTGATTAGTGAGTGATACTGTTGATGATGTTTAGTGAGTGGACTTCTTTTAATTGGTATTTAATTTAATTTAAACTTCGAAACTTTGGCGCAGTTTTCATTGACTTGTAATTCACTGTGTATATATGCTTGTTTGTGCTCAGTCGCTTGTAAGTTGCTATATGTTTATTTGATTATTAGCTTTATTAACTTTAATGATTATCAATAAAATTTCTTTAGAAACACAATTGTTGTTAAAAGTATTATTTTTATGAAATCAATCATACAAGTTGTTTGAAAAATATAAAAATTTTAGATAATAAAGAATCTATATTTATATAATTTACGTAATTTTTAATAAAACTTACTCAACTTTATTTAACTTAAATAAAAATTTAAATCATTGCTTTGTTTAAAAGCCTTTTTTGCTAAATATGAAAATATTTGATTATATAAGGTTAATATTACGAATTTAATTATTTTAGTGTGTTAAAAATCTTTCAGACATACATAGAAACACACATAAACTTGAATGTTCTCACAACCTTTAAAAATCCATAGCCAAGTTGTTGCAACAATATATTATATACGTGGTCAAGTATAGAGTGCGATCACACCCGCTTCCTGACCAACCCTGTACTTAAATAAAAATTTTACATTTTAATTCAAAATAATCAAACATATCAAATGCACTGAGTGATACTCCTTGAAATTAGCTTTATCCTATATACAAAATTACCCCACCACCACATCCTGTTTGCTGTTTGTAATTCATAGTGAACAACAAATAATTATAGCACAAAAATAATTGGTTGCCTAATATTTAAAAATAAAACATATTCGATGTTTTAAAATTTGCCTAAATGATTGATTTTTATATAAGCTTTTTCATCACAAATCAAAATTCATATCAATGTTAAATTTTTCTTAAAAAACTTGAAAAAAAAAGAAGGAATTAATTTAAGTTTCATTTAAAAAATAAAAAATTTATTTTAAAATATTATTTTTTTTTTACAATTATTTATGTGTTTGCATAATGCAAAAGCTCCAGATAGATAAAATGCAAAGCAGAACGCAGTCCGTGCCAAGTGCAAAATTTTAATACGTTATAAATTTAATTGTAAAATTAGTATATTAGTAACTTTTTTATCACACAATATAATAGTCAATTTAAAAAAAATTTAGACAATTTAGTTATGTTTTTCATTGTCAGTTAGACAATTACATGATTAAAAAATATTATAATAATACTAATTATAATACTAATAAAAGTATAATATAATAGTAATACTAAAATAATATAAAAATAATACTAATTAATTTCTGTATTAAAGTCTAGCCAAAACTCTTATCTGTTGCAAGTAGGGCCAACCTTTTACCAAAAATTTACCAGTAAATCAGTAAAATTGTTTTACTGATTTACTGGTAAAATTAAAATGGTAAATTTTGATAAATAATGATTTTTACTATACTAACACAGGAAAAGTTGACAACAAAAGTTGCAACAAAATCAAAAAACCCTAAAATTTCAACTTTTTTTTGTCAAATCAATCAATTGAAGAGTTGATTTCAAGACTTACATCACTGGATGCCATTGTAAACAGCTTTTCTATTCGATCTGCAATGCTTCCAAAAATCACAAGCAAGCAGTCCAGTCAGTTAAAAAGTTTGCAGCTGGTGTGAGAAATGACTATAAAATCACTTTTGAATTTTTATTGAACATTTGAAAGCGCTTTTCAGTAATTTGAGTAGACTTCTTTGAAAATTGAAGGTCCATGAATTTTAATAATTATCAAAAACAGTCACAAAATAATATGGGTTTGGCGCAAAATTCTGGATCTCTATCCCCTGAAAAAGCTGAAGCAGTTGTCATGGAAAATGTGGCCAAATGTGGGTTAAACATTGGCAATATCATTGTCTGTTCAGTCACCAATAGAACTTCCATGGTGGTTATGTTCAAAGCTGGTTTCAACAGAGCATCAAACATGTTACACTCATGGAGTGCACTTGATAACTCAAGAAGTGATGTTCGAGACGCCTTTCTGAAAATTAATAATAACGCATTGCAAGTATTAAGTGGCAAAGATGAAGTCAAAAATGATAAATCCGAATCTAAAACTGAAGTCAGTTTTCTTGGTGAAAAATCTATGGATAAAAACATTCCCATTCCAAAAGTGAAAGTAACTTGCAATTTGTCATCACAAAATTCAGAAAAAATTGTCAAGTTATTTCAAAAATCTCTAGTCAAAAATGACATCCAAGAAGAAATCAAGAAACAGTACAGAAAAGAGTTTTCACTTATCCTTGACAATTCAAACAACAAAGTCAAAGCCTTTTCATAAGAAATTTAGGTCTATTTTATCTAAATTAAGCTGGAAATTTAGGTCTATGAAGCTACTGGAAAGAGAATATCATGAACTTTTGTTTAATGCACTGGAGACTTTTGTTCAATACATCCCCCCAACAAGTATTAAGTCCAAGCAAATCTTTTCTGCTGTTGATTTGTTTTTGACAAAAATTCAGTTCAGAATAAATGGCAGCTAACTTGATACACTTTGTTTTCTCAAAGCTCATTTTTTATTAATATAACAATTATCAATAAAGATATTGTATCTGAATCTTATAAAGGCATTTTGAAACAAAAAAAAGTTTTTTAAATAAGTTTTATTTTTTACTGATTTCACCGATATTTACAGATAAATTATGCTTTTTTCACCAATTTACTTGAAAATTTAAAAGTTGGTAAAAGCTCAACTCTATTTGGAAGGTGGCATATTTGCTTAAATTAAGTCTTTTTATTTTTGTTTTTATAAAGTTCAAGATATTCTGAAGAAAATGGTTTTAAAAACAATTTTTTTTACAATAAACTCTTTTCAAATTTATATATGGACAACATTCAACAGAAAGTTACCAACTACAAAAGTTACCAAGCAACAGAAAGTTACCAACAATAAAAGTTTTTAACTGAGATAATAACATATAAAAAAAAATTTACAACTGAAATTTACAAATCATTATTTTAAAACTTTAATATAACACATAAGTAGTGTATATTGCAGTTGGTTCCTTTTTGATAAACATGAAAAAAATGGTGATTAGATAAAATTTCATGATATGCAAAATTGTTGATTGGTTCCTTTCTGTTGAATATTGTCTATATATAGTTTTTTGGTTGTAAATAATTCCTTTAAGGTATTATCAATCAAAGTGTACTCAAATCTATTCATTGTAGTCAACACTTTAACAAAAGACAACCCAGCATGCATCTTGGTGGAAAATGAAGCTGCCTAAATGGTTTTTGTTATTGAATTTTACTTTTATGTCTATTTTTATTTTTTAACAAAAATTATTTTTCCCAACAATCCAATAAAATAAATTGAAATGGCATTGAAATTCTATTATAATATATATTTTATGATTTTGCTTTTTTTTTTCTTCTAAATATATATATATATATATATATATAGAAGTATTAAAAAAAAAAAAAAGCAAAATCATAAAATATATATTATAAAAGAATTTCAATGCCATTTCAATTTTGATTTTATTTTATTGGATTGTTGGGAAAAATAATTTTTGTTAAAAAATAAAAATAGACATAAAAGTAAAATTCATATTGTCATATTTATACCCTCTCTAGTTTTATTAAAGCTAATAGTGTAAATAATAGTCATTTTTCATTGTTTGATCTACAAAAACTTTAATATCGTAAACAATAAAAATATTTTAAATGCGTTTTCAAATTATTTTAGTCTGAAATATTTTAGATGTTATAAATATTTAGTAATTTCAAAACACAACTTTATATACCTTTCCAAAGTTTAAAAAAAAAAGATTTTGAGCTTTAAAAAATAAGATTTTTGCAGAAAATAAAAACTCAATTTCTGTAAAAATCTTATTTTTTAAAGCTCAGATTTTTTTAATCTGTGTTTCATATTTATTTATTGTTTATTTGTATAATAAACTGTAATATTTATTATTTATTTTATAAAATTTAAATAAGTCTTGTCTTGTTGCATGCTTAAATTGTTGAGTTCAAGTTAAAGTTCTTATTGTTATAAAAAATTACTTGTTAGAAGCAAGTTACATAAATCGCAGCCCACGGCAAGATATTGAAAAATCAGCTTGTTTTGCAATTTATGATTTCGTTTATTTACTTAAATTAACTTCCTTGTTGAAAACAATAAAACCCGTTTGGTCTGAAGTCCACCAAAGGAATTGTTCTGAGTTTATTTAGTATATTTTTGGACTAATTTGAAATATGTTGCAACCCATTCTAAACGCTTGTTTTGATAAATCAAAATTCAAATATATATAGTACATATCTATTTATTTTTAAATGATAGTACATTGTTAAACCAAAAAGTTATGTTAAGTGAGATAAAAAATAAAATTATAAAAATAAAACATAGTTTAAGAAATCTTTAAGTTATTCTTTTAGTGTAACTCATTAGTTTCAATTACACGCAAATTGCCATTAAGTTGTTCTTTTAGTGTAACTCATTAGTTTCAATTACACGCAAATTGCCATTAAATTATTCTTTTAGTGTAACTCATTAGTTTTAATTACACGCAAATTGCTATTAAATTATTCTTTTAGTGTAACTCATTAGTTTTAATTACACGAAATTCACCATTATTGTCTAAAACATGTATAAACCAACTGATTGCTGAATTGGCTGCTGAATTATGCATATATTACTGCAATCATTACCTAAAGCGGTTAAGCTATTGTTAAATTTTTTTAAAATGAAATTTATCAAATAAGTTTATTTTTTTAGTTTCATCAAGGAATTAACAAAGAGGCAACTCTAATGTTGACAACATGATTTAAACTATTAAGAAAAAAACATAGATAATAAAGTAGCATTGGTCAGTCATAAAAATATTGGCATCCTCAGGCTCATAGCAACTGAAGGAGGAGGGGGGGGGGAAGCAGTAGCATTTGCCCCCCCCCCCCCCCAATAATTTATCAAATAAATAATTTTGAAAGAATTGACTGAAAAAATGACCCCCAATACAGTTTTTGTTTCTATGGGCCTGATCCTCATGTGTTCTCGTTAAAAATCTGTTTCCAAGTTTTTTAAAGTTTTATTAATCAACTTATTTAATGAATTTTGTTCAACTAAAAATTTTAACATGTTGCTAAACAATTTTGTTAATGATAAGTTACTTTATAATTTAATTGAATAATTTTATTTTTTATCTCACTTAATATAACATTTTGATTTATCAATGCATTATCATTTAAAAATAAATTTGATTAAAAAGTGAAGTTAGTTTTCTTCATATATCAAGTCATATTGACATTTCATTTTCCCTTGAATAGTTTAAAATTTAATTAAAACATGTATGAATCGAATGCTATTATTTATTTTGTAATATCTTTATATATTGTTATAAGACTTACACATATTTTTATTCAAGATTCACACCTCAAAAAATAAGGCACCATTGCGTTGCGAAGCAATACACAAAGATGTGATTGCACATCAACTTTGTGCAATTGAAATTATGTCATGGCTTGCAAGTGTTGTTGACAAATCAGGTATATAAAATTGTTTACAAAAGCTATATAAAATTGTTTTATAAAGTTGCTTTTTTTTTTGTAATCTTGTAATTTTGTCAAATTGTTTACACAAGCCCATCATTTGGTTTGTGCATCCATCAGTTGGCATGTGCATCCATCATTTGGCATGTGTATCCATAGGCAAAGTGTATCCATAACAATAATCTTAAATTTATTCTGCTTTATTTAATAAACTATGCATAAAAGTTTTATTATATATATATTTTTTCTATTGTTAATTTTTATTAAAATTGTTCATGTCAATTGAATGTAGATGCTTTGCGAAGATTACTCTGTTTACTAGTATGTAAGCCTCTTTGTGGTCGACCTATACCATTGTTGGAGCAAGTAATTAACGATGATGCTCAACTTTGGAAAGGTAAATATCTTAAATACTAAAATTATATGATTTTTATTTTGCTTATCTTCAATCACTCAATTTCAAATTCAAATAATTAATCTAGGAGTGAACAACTAGTTGTGCATTCTAAATTAGTTCAGTTTTTTTGGTATTATTTAGTTTATTTATATAAAATAAATAAGATTCTCATCTCCATATATTAATTTAATTAAAAATATAACAATTTATTTAAAGATATATTATTTGAAGATATTTTAATAAAAATGTATCTTGTCAACAAATATGTTAATTTATTTAATAATACATTAGTTAAACGCAATATTTCTCCATGTCTCTTGTCTTCATGGTTCCATGTTCTCTAGTTTTGTTCTTTCAGTGTTCTCAAGTTACAGAGATAAGAAAAAGAGAGAGAGAAGGTTAAGAGACAACAATAAAAATAAAAATAAAAAAAAATATCAACTATTGTGTTCCTCTTGAGTAGTTAGTGCCAAAATTAAGTTTTTTCTTTCACCAAAATTAATTATGTCATGACATTTTTTGGAAGTATTTACTCAAATGTTGTTTTGATCATGTGTTGCATGTCTTCTTTTTCTTTAATAAAGCGCTATAATATTAGTATTACAAGTCTTTGTAATGCCATATAGTTTATGATTATTGTTATCATCATTCAGAAATATACAATGTGGTAGTCTGGTTTACTCTACATTTTCAATATTTCTACTTAAAACATATGAATTAGAAAATTAAATCCATAAAACCAGTAAAATATAATCTATAAAATATAATTTACAAAAGCCAAAAAAATGTAAACAATAAAAACATACCTAGTATCCTTATGGTTAAAAAAGAAATAAACCACAAACCTACGCCAGTGAGAACCTTTTTTTTTATTTTAAGTGGCCTTATAAACAGTAACAGTAAAAGGATGAGCGTTAATTGAATAAGGAGTAACACGTAAATAAATTTTAGTAAATGGCACAAGAGATGCTAGCTCTTTAGAGCAGTGCCCCTTATAGTATTTATAGAAAAGAGAAAGAGAAGGAACATTACAATGATGTGACAATGGTTAAAGGTTGGCTGCAAGTGCAGGTCCAACTATGTTTACAAAGTATTTTTGCACCTTGTCTAAAAGAAAAAAAAGCATTATTCATAGATCCGCTCCAGATATGACTATAGTATTCCATACAAGGATGGCTTTGAAATTTACAGAGATAAAGAATAGAATCCAGAGTAAGAAAGTGGCAAAAGAGATGCAGCCTTAGCAGATGCTAATTTTGCAATGGATTTGATGTATATTTTCCAAGAAAGATGAGAGTATCTTAGTGAGACTTGACTTGGAGTTGTCGAGAGGTTGTCGAGATTCCAGCCAAGAAGTTACATAAGAAGCATATTTGTTATCAGGAAGATTAAAGATTTCTATCCAAGGGCCATCACAGAGAAAATCATGGAAAGAGTCCCAGTAAACTTTAAGGTAGTTGTAAGAGGTATGATGATAGGAAGATTCTGATGATAAAAAAGAATTAATTGAGTTTTAGAGAGACCAAATCATGATCAAAAACACCTTTGTGTGAATGTGGAGAAACTGAACACTGCCTATGATTATAAACAAGGCATAGGTTGAGTAGAGAAGGTAAATGATTCAAATTGATTGGAAATCGACTTGGAAAGTATTTGTGTTAGAGATTGAGAAAAGCAAAAGTTGTGGGTTTTAACACCTGCAAAGTCACTGACACTAAAACCAAGCCATTAAGTGTGATGAGCATTAAAATTCACCAATAACAACAATATTGGCTGAAGAATAATTAGAAAAACTTGAAGAATAATTAGAGGGTTTGGTTTCAAAAATAAGATCAAAAAGAGTGCAGTCTTGAGATGAAGGAGAGTGATAAAGAACAAAGAGAAAGGTGATAGAGTGAAATGGTGCTAAACGAAAGCACATAAAAGAATAGTCTGTGGATTCAAACCTTGTTTCCTGACAAATGGATGAATTCTTACGAATGTAAATGCCCTGACCAAGCATTTGACTATTGGAGTCTTTACAAGTTAAAGGAAGATAACCATCAACACTAAGATCAGAAAAAGAGACAGCTGAACTCAAATTAGTTTCACAGAGACCAAGTAGGTTTGGTGAACTTTACAAGAGATAAGACTCATTAGAAGAAAAGTTACTCCGAAGAGCACGAATATTAGTGAATAATAGATTTAGAGAACTTGGTGATAACAATGGTTTTTTGTATTTTATAGTTTTTGATACTTAAGTCATTTTTTAAATTTGTTAAAGAACTTGACTCAAACCACAAATAGTACTCAGTACACTATTTAATAATTCAAGCAATTGCCTTAATTACTACTAATAAGTCATAACAAAGGGCTCAAAATGTGGCCTCAACAATGCATATCAAAAGTATGAACAGAGACACCATCCATGTGCAACATGGTACTGTTAGTACTCTAATATTTTACAGCTGTTGATGGAATCAGCCTCTCTGAAAGCTGCCACAGAGTTCAGGAACCTGACTACCAGCTGGTCTCAGAACCATAAGTCTCATGAGTCTTAGAGCTTTACCCTCATTAGAAGATAATAGAATGAGTTGCCTAGTCATAAAAACAGAAATACAAGCAAAATCCATGCAATAAGACAAAAAGATTCACCATTGTAAATATATCAATGCCAGGCTAATAGGTGAAGAATGGGTGCGAAGCTGGTTAACAGATAGAATCTGTTAACCCTTCGTACTTTTAAACAGTTAAGTGTTAAACCAAAGTAGTTTGAAATATTTTTACCTTTTATACTTTAATCAATGGAAATTAATAATATTAAGCTATATTTCTGTTAAATTAGAATGATAAAAAATAAATGTTTATATACAACTTTTAAAATCATACTTATTATACAAGAGAAGTTTTTTAAACCAATACTTTCCAAATATTTAGTAATTACCAAAAAACTGCTCTATAAATACAGGCTTGACAATAGTTGCAGTTTAATAATTGATAAAAATAATCTTGATTTAATTTTAATTTTTTTAATCAATCACAATTGCTTACTTAGCTTTAACCAAAGTTAAATATCATCGCTTTAACTAGAAAAATGATTTAAGTTAAACAATTTGTATAAAAAATAAGCAACAAAGAATTGTTGATCGAGAGCAAAAAGATTTGATTTTCATATTAACAAATTGTCTGTTTTTATCAGTTTTTTCAAATTGTTTTGTTATTACATATTTTTTACAATAAATTATATATATATATACATTTATTTTTCTGCTGCAAGATTACAAGTGCATCAGTTATTTGTGTGTGTATGTATATATATATATATATATATATATATATATATATATATATATATATATATATATATATATATATATATATATATATATATATATATATATATATATATATATATATATATATATACATATACATATATATATATATAAATATATATATGTATATATATATATATATATATATATATATATATATATATATATATATATATATATATATATATATATATATATATATATATATATATATATATATATATATATATATATAAATTTTATTTTTAGCTGCAAGATTACAAGTGCATCAGTTATTTGTAAATAGGTTTGTATTTTTAAGAGTTGATTAGAGAAAGTAAAAGTGTTTTTTAATACTAAATAAATATACCACAGATTTACCAAAAAAAACAACATTAAACCAAGTTTGATAAAATAATTATGTGTTTAAAAGATTAGGAAAATATATTAAGAAGTATGTATTTTAAAAATTTTTACCGTACACATAAAGTGCCATACACTTTTTTTTAAAGCAAATATGTTTTTATTATTCCTGAAAAATTTTTATAAATGAATTCTTTTCTGAATGAGGGATTCCATTATGCTAAATTGTGATCATATACCGATATTAGATAGGTGTTGGAAGTCTTGTACTCTTTTATCTTTCCTTCTCTTCTTTAGTTGTCGAATACATTCATCACAAGAGTGTTATCCTTAGGAGTCAGAAAATCTGCATAAAATCTTGATAGTAATTTTTTTTTTCAAAGTAAGAAAAAAAAAAACAGAAAGAAAGTATGTGCCACCAGCGCTCTGCCAAAAATTTCCTTTAAAACACCCTATTTACCATAAGCTTTCTTTAAAGGATCATTTAAAAAATTACCAAGCCTAATGAAGTGTTGATCTTGGCTGATTTAAAGTAAAAAAGATTTCAAAGTCTATTAAACCTCCTAATGTGTAAGATTGCATTGATATTGTGTGAAATATTGCATTGATATTGTGTGAGATATTGCATTGATATTGTGTGAGATATTGCATTGATATTGTGTGAGATATTGCATTGATAGTGTGTGAAATATTGCATTGATATTGCTGATAAATATTGCTGTGGTTTTTATTCTACTTTTAATATTTACTACACCAATATTATGCTATTTTAAAAAAATATTGTGAGCAATTATTTTCGAACATTTCGAATGACAGTTTGCAATGGGTAGCGCTATCTTATATTGCACAATATCAATTGTCAGACACTTTTTGTACAAATATAATTTTCCATGCAACAATAAAAAATTGCAAAAAGGAAACATTACCTTTAACTTGTTACTGATTTATAACTGGGTTTGTTTTCAAAGCTGTCAGTTATTCTTCACAAATATCACACATTGCTAATTTCAAATTTTGTCTCTCTACAGGCTTTAGTGATACAGCAAATTCATTTAGATGTGACGCAATAAGTGAGTTTATTACTAATAGTCACACCTTCTAAAATTTTATTAATCAGCCACTTAATGCTTGGCTTTTCCAAATTGAAACTTAATTTCTTTAGTTCAGGGATGCAGAGTCTCAAAAGACTTTGATTTCAAATTATTTTTTCCTGGTCTCTTGTGTCTAGGAGCTCTATAAGCTTTGAGTAACTTTTGATCTGCAACAAGAAAAAAATGTCATGAGATTTTAATGACTTGGAACCTACTGTTTTTATCCCTGAATCCCCAAGTCCTGGAGTCCTTGCAACCATTGAACATAAGGACTAAGAGATGACTAAGATACTATTAAGATGTCATTAAAATATTATATATATATATATATATATATATATATATATATATATATATATATAAATAATATTTTAATGACATCTTAATAGTATGATAAAATTTATCATACTCTATTAAGAGTATGATAAATTTTTGGAAATTTATCATACTCTTAATAGAGTATGATAAATTTCCAAATGCTGCAATTCTAAATTTTGGAAATAATAAAGAAAAATTTAACATATTCATTTAAACAAATGTTGAGATAAAAACAACTATATATTATATATACTTTAAAATGTATTATTTATTTATTCCTTTAACATTAAAAAAAAAAATTGCATAATATATTTACATAATAAGTAGTATCTATTTATAAGTAATATTTATGATAATTTTAGCTTGTTGATGGATATCTCATTTGGGAGAGTAGAATTTGCTATTGCATTTGCCAAGGTAACAAGCTAGATAAATAAATTATATTACTTTTTTTTTTTTGCGCATTTTTTTTTTTTTTTTTAAAGTTTGAACTTTCTTAAATTTTTATATTTATAGAACTATGTTAAGATGATCAATGATTTCATAGAAGATGATCACGATCATTCTATTTCAGTTAGTTTTTTTTTCATACTTTTTTTTATTTTTTTTTAAATCTTTTTTTTTTAAGGTTTATATATGATTGAAAATATATGGCATAAGATAAATATGATATTTTTATTATAAAATATTTATGGTATATATGACATAATATACATGATATAAAATACATATGATATGTATGACATGTTAAATTTAAATTTAAAACAATTTAAAAAGAAAACATTTTTGAAAATGGTTACTAAAATAAGTGTTAAAACAAAACACATAAAACTAAGAAATCAAAAACAAAGATTTTATTGTTTTTTATTGTTTTTTGTAATGCTTCATTGATCAATTCTATTGAAATTAATTGTTTGAATGACTTTTCCTGAAGTCATAAAACGTAGGTGCATTTGAATCCTAAAAAATATATTCAAGTACTAATAAAGTTTTTGCTAAAGCTTAAATAATTTTTTTAATAATTAAAATTTATTTTTACTTCAAACTTAATAATTAAAATTTATTTTTGCTTCAAACGTTTTGTCAAAACTTATTTTGTACTATTGTATTCACTCATATATCACTAGTATAGTTAATATATGTGAAATGTCTTATAATCACTATGATTCATAGATAACATTTATCGTCAAGATGTAGTCAAAACTATTTGTTCTTTTGACTAGTGTATATACATTTTTTTTATAAACGTTTTACTAGTGTATATTAATACTTTTGATTTTTTCATTCTCATTTAATATTTTTTAAAATCTAATTTTTAATATCTTTAAAAAAAACAACATGCCTTCACAAGTATTAACTACAAAAAGCGACATTGACGTTATACGATGATTTTTTTTTAATAATAAAGTGAAACTATTATTAAAGCTGTTTTATCATTTGTTTTATCATTTATAATCATAGAATTATATAACTTAAAGTACAATCTGATTTTTAGAAGTCTAGTTAACGGATTATTTCTCTTAAAAGACTTGTTAGTTTTAGAAAGAGCGTTACGACTCATTCATAGCACAGAGTGGCTCTTTCATTGAAAAGATGTTATGAAAGAGCTGATTTCTCTCTTTTTTAAAAAATAGGTGTATGATAGATTATTAGCATTGTTATCCAATTTATTTTAGTTTTATAATATTATCCAATAATGTAACTATTTAATTAAAGAAAACTTTTTTTTTTTACCTTTTTAAAACTTCATACACACACTCCCCCTAATAATTGAAATTAATAACTGTTCTATAAAAAAGTAAATAACATTATAATATATTAAAAAGTGAATTTTAGTAATATATCCAAGAAATGCTAATATTTTAGAGGTTTTATACTTAATGTTGTCATATTAAAATTGTTTTATAATTTAAAAATTTTTTAGACTTTAAATAATAAATGTTTTGATCTTAATAATTTTTTAGGTTTCAGCATTATCTGTTCAAATATTTACTGTTCCGTCAATTGTAAGTTTTATTTATTCCATGCTAATAAAATGAACTCATTAAAATTGTAACTTTATATAAAACTCATTTTAATCCAAGTTGTCTGTACAATTTTTTTTTCTATTTATTGCTTTTTTTTTTTTTTTTTTTTGGTTTTTACAAATCACACGACATTTATTATAGGCAGAACTTCTTATCCTAGAACATGATATTTTAGCAGTGTGCTTAGAAACATTTTTAGTTTCAATAAGGCCAGCTGTCGGAGGTATTTATAAATGTTTTTAAATTTTTGATACATAAGTTAACACATGAAAAAGTTTTTTTTACTTATTATTGAAATCCAATAGAGTTTGATAATTATTTAATTTTTGTTGTTACATAATCAGGTACTATCTAGATATAAGGAACTTTTATTAAGGCAAAATAAAGCATTTTTTTGTGCATTTAATTTTAGCAGAAAAAAAATTAAAAGCTTCTATGGTGAACTTAAGCAGTAATCAATCATGAGGATACAATCTTTAATGAAGCTGATTTACAGGAAATCTCATTTTTGAGCGTGTGATCAAACAATTTTAGTTTAAATTTTTAATATTTACCTTTTATTAAATATTAAAAGGTAATATTTAATTGTTATATTAAATATTACCTTTTAATATTTAATATAACAATTCAGACGACTTTATTATCAATTTCAAAATTACAGTTTAAATGTTTAACTTTAAATCTAAAATGTACACAGGAGTCATTCATAATACATTATGTACACATGAGTCATTCATAATACATTATGTACACAGGAGTCATTCATAATACATTATGTACACAGGAGTCATTCATAATACACTAGCAGTAAGCAACCCGTAATACGTGTTGTTAGTAAATAAAATTAAAAAAAAAAACGCGTATAGAAAAGCCTAGAAACTACTTTAAAATAGAAAAGCCTAGAAAATGACATAACTCGACTAATAATAATAATATTAAATTAGCGTATTCATATTATCAGATTATGTACTCAGGAGTCATTCATAATACATTATGTACACAGGAGTTACTCATAATACATTAATACATTAACATGTATTAATATACAATCAAATACATTAACTAATGTGACTTATACTTTTGTTATAGTCAGTACTTAAGCAAACAATTATTTTTTTCTTTTGCGATTAGCTTTTGTTTGTTTTAATTTTTAAATAAAAAGCGTTTTATTTGAATCAAAATTTTTTATTCTTAATGAGTAATGAAAGCTTATAAGTTTTTGAATTTTGTGTCGCAAGTTTGTAATTTTGAATTTTGTGTCGCAAGTTTGGGTATACAATTCAAAATTAGAAGATTAGTTATGAGATGTTCAAATTAAATAAAGCATTTTATACTTATAACTTTTCATTAATTTATCTCTAAATCGAGGACCAGGGAAAGGACTCACTTCATTCATTGGTTGTGCATCACTTCTTTCATTTCTCTTCTTTTCTCTATTTTATCTCCACCAAGTTCTTTTTCTCCATAGACCTTTTTTTTTATGTCTATAAACTTCTTATGCCTTTCTCTATTTTTCATATCTTTAATATATGCTTTTCTCCTCTTTGGATTATATTTCCTCCATTTTCGCAATATTTTCTTATGGTGTCATAATATATGATAGAAAACAAATTAGTTTTATCTATATATTTCTTGAGTAAATTAAAAAGTAATTTGAAATATTTTTTTATTTTTATTAAGTAATTAGAAAAAAACTGCATGACAAATGCATGACTTTTTACAAATAAGTTTAAAATTTTTAAATAAAAATGAAGAAATTTCAAATACTGATGGCATTTGAAATTTTAAAATTTTTCCTTGACGACTGCAAACACTGTAGTATTGTGATTGAGGTTTTACAAAGTTTTAAAATTTTTAAATTAAAATTTATCTGTAAATTTCAAGTAAATTTTAATTATTAAAATTACCTGTAAATTTACATTATAAAATGATTTAGAAATTGTTAAAGCTACATTACAAAGGAGTGGATGTCTTTATAAAACTAATTTACATTCTTAAATATGAAATCATTTTTTGTAATTTTAAAATTTCAATTATTTAAATATAACTTTTTGAAAAATTTTAAATTACAAAAAGTTTCTTTTAATTTTTGATTTTTTTTTTTTTAATACAGTGAATGGTTCATTAGATTTTCAAGGAAAATTGAAATTTGTGAACCTGAAAAGAAGTGAATATATTCTAAATGATATAAGGTATTTATCTATGAAATTTTATATTCAAATATTTTTTTTGTGTGATGCTGTTTACCTATTGTTTTGAAAAAAGGTACCTTCTTCGGATGAAACCTAAATGGACAGAGCTATTGCGTGGAAAGTTTATTGCGTTTTTCCATCATTTTTTGCAGTTGTTAAAAATAATGCAAGTATGAAAAATCTTTTTCTTATAGTTGATTTTACTTATGTGAAACCATAAAAAAATATTTGATTGTATTAAAATAATATATATATATATATATATATATATATATATATATATATATATATATATATATATATATATATATATACATATACATATATATATATATATATATATATATATATATATATATATATATATATATATATATATATATATATATATATAATTTTGCATAAATTGTTATATTATTTGCATAAAATTTATTAAACTGTAGTAAAGTTATGTAGTTAAATATTTTTGTTTAACAAATTTTAACAACCTCAATCACGTTTGGTGCTTATTTCAAAAGTTTGACTTCATTTTATTTCAAAAAGTTAGAAAGCTAGAGTCAATATTAACATTGCATATTTTTAATGACCTTACTTGTTAATGGTGGTGTTCAGCTTATTTTTATTGGTCTTTTTTTTATTATTGTTTGGTTGGACATATGTTATTTTATATAAGAACAGAAATCTTTGCAGCAAGTGAAAAATAATATAAGTATAAATATAAGTTCAAACTTCTAAATAAGTTATTTTATTATATTCTACTTTTTTATTTATATTTCTTCGGCTCGGGATGCAATTGTCGTATTGTTATGTATATATAAAAAATTATTTAATATAAGTTATTTAGTATAACATTAAAAAAAAAAGCTTTTTTCATTAACATGATGTTAAATTTACATATAATAGATAATTACATATTTATATATAACTTTAATAAATTTGCGGTATGTCAATTGCATTCCATGCCGATGATTTATTTAATATTATTTTATTTAGTTTATAAGTCATAATAAGTAAGGTGATTAACTTAAAAAAAATTTTAATATAAAACTCCCAGATTGTTTTGTGGGTAAGAGAAGCTTGTAAACATTAGATGGAAATTCTCCTAGTGGTAAAGTCACAATTAAAATTTTAAAGTAGGTAGCATCCTGATTTGCAAAGTAGGAAGGACATCCTATTATAAAAAGTTGCTTTAACTCTTCCTTATTGTCATATTTAAATTAAAAAATTATATTATTGAAACCCATCAAAACCACACAAGTATGGAACAACAGATGATGAACTTTAAACAATAATAATTTTATAGTTGAATTAATTACTAAAAATTATTTATATAAAGAAAAAATATCAAATATTTTTTAAAAATCAAAGTTATAATTGTTAAATTTTTTTACTTTTTTTTTTAAATAGAACTTGTTAAAGTACTTCTATACTTTTTTTTTTAATTATTTACTCCCATCAAGCAAACAAATACAATTAAGTTTGGAGTTACAAATGGTTGACAGAGGACCTGAAAAGTTTTTGACTGTGTGAGTCAGGAAATGATGAAAGAAAGTTTCAAAGCATTAATGTTTATGTGAAGAAAATATTTTAGTGCATGAAAGAACAGATACACTAAATAGATGCAAATGAATGATCTTGTATTTATTTAGCAATTATAAATTTTGTACTTCAAATTCTAAAAAAGCAAGATGTAGTTGGTGCAGAACGGATACTGATATTTCTATCATGTGAGTATCTGCTTTAGATTCTCTTGCAACTGCTAAGAAGCATAAATTAAATGCAAAAACACATAATGTAGCAGATATATTCTTTACTGGTACTTTATTATTATTATTATTTTTTTTTTACTTTTATTCAAATATATATATTTTTTTGGAAAGTTTGTAGCAAATTGATTGGCTGTGTCCTTTATAGGATAGTTTTAACTATTTTTTTTACATTTTTAATTCTTAGATTTTGCTATAGAAAAATCATCTGGCAGTGAAACAGCTATCAGTAACCTACATAAAAGTTGTCATAAAAAATATTAATAGAATAATAAACTATAAATCAGCACAGCCTACTATCAAATAGCCACTATCACAGCCTACTATTGAGGATCTTCAATCTCCAGCTCTGCTTACCAAGGCAGAAATAATAAGGAGCTTGAATGTAGTGATGTCACATTAAATGTTATCTTCAAAAATGAACAAATGGATTTTGGAGTTAGATACTGGGATTTAAGTTCTGGTGTTGTAAAACTAGATATATTGACTTAAAATTCCTCAGATGCCCTAATTCACAGAATTTATTTTAAAACTAATTGTAGCAGCAGAAGTGTTTGGTATTGGGAAATTCAAGTATCAATGGATAGTCCAATTGTGATAGAATTAAAAATGGATAGTCTAATTGGGAGGTTTTGAAATGGTTAGATAAACATAGACAAGAAAAAGAATATTGTGGTATAGCTAATATGGGGATTTGCAGTTTGCACATTGTTCATGGTCCTTTTACAGACTACAATAAATTCCAAAAGTGGGAATTAGCAAAAATATAATCTTTTCAAAGGTTTACCTGCTAAAAAAGATGAGTGCATTAGAGTTAGCGAATCTGATCTGTTTGCTTTACTGTAGGTATACATTGTATTCCGAAAAAATCAGGAAAACCAAAAATAGTTTATCATTTCTTTTCATATATATATATATATATATATATATATATATATATATATATATATATATATATATATATATATATATATATTCATATATATTCATATATATTCATATATATATATATATATATATATATATATATATATATATATATATATATATATGCACACACATAAATTAAGAGCAATTCAGCTTTAATATTTTTTTTATTATTATGTTACAGTTTCTGTGCAACTCGTTGGATAAAAGATGATACTGTGGCGTCTAGAGAAATTGTGTTATGGCCAAACATGTTTAAAATTATAATATTGGGAATCAGTGTGCAAAAGCAGGCGTTTTAAAAACAAGAAGCTCTTTTAGATCATTATCTTGACAAGTTTGTACCTTTGTGAATGCAGTTTTTAAAGATTTTGTTAAAAAGTTGAAAGGATTCCCAGTTCTATTTGAAACAGACAGATCTATTTTCAGACCTATTGTGGCATTTTTATCAAACAGTTAAGAAAATATGTAGCGAAGTTTGATGAAAATGATTCTCAAATATTTTAAAAGAAGCTGCAACAGCATTTAGTTTAACAAAGATTGAAGTAGTAAATCAACCAATCAAATAACCAACTAGAAGTAGACCAATTTGACATAGGAACAGCACTGAAACAGATGCTAAGTTCTCTTCGTTGTAAACCAGTAGAGAAATTAGAATTTAAAAAAAAATGTAGACAGATTATGTTATTGCAAAAGTTACAAAAAAATGCTGGTTGAGGAATTCTTTAGCGAGGAATGCTTCATCTTTGTCTATGCATGAAATGGTTCAAACCAAAGAAGTATTGACTCTGAAATTCAAGAATCTTGTTGAGAGATTAAGTGCAAAACATCAGTATGGTTAATTATTGCAGAATGTGTTCTATTTAGAGAAATATTTGAGTTCTTTAATGAATTAACTGATTCTGTTAATAAATTTTTTAGTGTCTATTTGCACAAAACTCAAAAGTATTTAGCATTGTGGAAAGTTTGCGCTATCATTTTTGTTTTATCTCATGGCCAATGTGTTATAGAACAAGTGTTAACAAGCATTTTTTAGTAGAAAATCTACATGAGGATCTCTTGTTTCCCAGAGAATAGTTTATGAGCATATCAATTCCCATGATATTGTTATTCATCAGTATAAGCTTCCCAATGACTTTTTAAAAAGCTGTAGGTTAGCATACAATCAGTACAATTCAGTATTGAAAGATAAAAATAAGGATCAGTTTAATGTAGATAAAGTAAGCAAGAAATGAAAATTGGTTGATGAAGAAATTGTAGTTATGAAGAAGCAGAAACAAAATTTTGCAAAGTGCATCAAAGTGCTTAAAACTGATGCTGACAGTTAAGCAATGAAGCAGAAACCAGAAAAACCAGAAACCATATATATATATATATATATATATATATATATAATATATATATATATATATATATATATATATATATATATATATATATATATATATATATATATATATATATATATATATATATATATATATATATATATATATATATGGTTTCTGGTTTTTCTGGTTTCTGCTTCATTGCTTAACTGTCAGCATCAGTTTTAAGCACTTTGATGCACTTTGCAAAATTTTGTTTCTGCTTCTTCATAACTACAATTTCTATATATATATATATATATATATATATATATATATATATATATATATATATATATATATATATATATATATATATATATATATATATATATATATATATATATATATTATATATATATATATATATATATATAAAACCTATTTTGAAGGCAACACATTTTTTTTTAGCCAAGAAAAGATTAATATATCCTTGAAAAGTCTTGGAAATGTCCTGAAATTTTAAATTGGCTGGCCACCCTGCCATGTGATCCAGTTTGTAATAGATTTTTGGTAACAATAAAATTTTTTTGATAAAAGTTTAAATTTTTTTTCAGGGTATGGACTCAGTAACGCACAAGGTTTTGTCACATGTTGCATATGAGCCTAATTGGGAATCTGGTTTTAATTTGCAACTGTGGTGCATGTCTTTGTTTCACGAAATGTATGTTTGGTGTTATAGTGATGTAAGTTTTTTTAAAATGATTTAAAAAAAAAAATGTTTTTAATAAAGGAATGCCTGTATAAACATTTTGAGGTGCATTCATGCTTAAGTTATGTAAAAAACTTTTTGAGATGTCACATAACTATTATCAACATTGTTTTTATTTTGTTTTAGAAAGAAGTTTTAAGTACTTGTACTGTTATGTGTCTCAAAGTATTAAATGAGTTACCTTTACAGTACATTACTCATGACAAAGTATTAAATGAGTTACCTTTACAGTACATTACTCATAACAAATCTAAAGGTAATGCTTTTTTTTAAAAATGAATATTTAAATTTTTTTTAATTTAGTGATTTCAATTGTTTTTTTGTAAAATTGTTTAAAATGTAATTTTTTTATCAAACTATTGTTTAATTTTTTTTTATCATGACATCATGTTGCACATTATGACATCTTTTTAATGTGTTTTAATTTGTACTTAAAACAAGGACTAAACTTCAATGTTAGCACAGTTTGTATAATAAATGATTAAGTCTAATTTAATGGAATAACATAATATATTATTCAATAGTTAATTCAAAAAATAAAATTTTTTCTTAATTGTTCAAAATTACCCTAATCATGGTTGCTAACACGCTTATGTTTAACAGTTTTCCATTATGCCATTCCTAAAAAACAAGCCCTTATTTATTAAGTTGAAGTTTCCTCAACTCGAAGTTTTTTCTGCCATTGTTCTTTTTTTAAAATTATTCGAACTACTAACTGCTTCTACTACTACAAATTTTTTAAAGATTGTTTTTTAATTTTTTTTTTTTAGTTTTTGTAGATTACAATATTAAAACAATGCGAGTTTCTATTCATGCACCATTATCAAGGTTTATTGCTGGTATGTGAAAGATTCCTAACGTTTATTTATTGTATCATCTATAGAAATTCAGTCAACTTTTTGTTATTTATTTCAGGTTTGCTGTGTGGTATGGTGAAACAAAATTTAAGCATAGAAGAGCATATTATCTTAAATTTAAATGTATAATACAGATTTAAACTAATATTTATTTGCCAATTTATACCTAATATTTATTTATATTTATGATATTATACATGTTGTTATAAATTATTACTTTAAAATTATTGTTAACTATTAGAATTTATACTTGAACTATTTTAAATGTATATTTATACAACATATGATATATGTGTGCGTAAATATATATATATATATATATATATATATATATATATATATATATATATATATATATATATATATATATATATATATATATATATATATACATATATGTCATGTTACATGACAAATATGCAGACTTTGTTATGAGATTTTGTTGCATTATGGAAAAATGTAACGCAAGTAAATGTAATTTTTCTCAATATCAATATTTACATTGTTGAAAGTTAAATTACTTCAGTTTCATTTTTTAAAATACAGCATTGTAATTAAATTTAATTTGAAACCATTTTGAAAATCATTTAAAATTTTTATTTTTATAAAATGTTCATTAAATATTTTTCAATTAAACAATATTGTTATTGAAAATATTTCAAAATAAATATGTTAAAAAAAACAACAATTTTTTAAAAAACTTATGTTTATTTAAACCTATACTATTTATTTCTTAAAACATTTATAACACAACATTATCGTCTTATGTTTGCTTTTTTTTCAACATTTTGGCTTTAACAAATTCTTTGCCTACTACTCATAAACTAGTTTATCATTTCTTATCGATATTCATTCTAAGGTCAATCTAAAAATTTAATGATAATGAATAAGCAATTGTTAAAAAGCAATTATCATATTTTCATAAATTTATTACTTAAATTTTTCTAAAAAAAATTCTCTATATTACTTTTGCCTACAGGCCTGATTACGGTTTATCAAGCAATGCATTTATATTATACACGTTTGGAAAATTAAAATTTAAAAAATTGTAAATTGAAGTCTTTTAAATCAAAAAAAAATTTTAATTAAGTATAATAAATTAAGTTTATTAATATTTAATAATAAATTTAATTTAAATATAAAATAAATTTAACTAAACTAACTAAATGTCTAGAACTTAGGTTACCCATATCTTAAAGCATCCAGTTTTTAATATTTTTTTTAGGCAATTTACCTAAGAATACGCTAACTAAATTTGGAATCAAAAATATTTATTATTCGGGAGTAACTAACAGAAATATTTTTTTTTGTTAATTAATAGAAACCATCCTGGTTAAAACTATAGTTAAGGTATATACACAATTGTTTTGTTCTCAAAGTTTTGTTAGGTATATATATAGGTATATACACAACAAAACTTTGACCTTGATTATCTGGTTATTGTGACTGTAAAAATTTGGTAATTTTTGGAATTAGATCAGTTTAGCTCTTCAAAATACCAAAGTTCTTGAAATTTAGTTACTAAATGCCTATAATGAATGAATTTTTTTATTTTATTTTAAACTTTAAAAAAAAGGAGATGCAGACCTATTAGCAAGAAAAAGTGACTTACTTTAAGTTTATTTGTAGTCTGATTATCTGGCACAACATTTTAACTAAAGTATATATGGTATCGAAAACAATGTCTCCAAAACTAAACTTATTAAATTGAAAATAACCTTTAAAAGTAGTTTTGTCTTTTTTAAATAATCACCATCAGGATAAAAGTGTTGTAAAAGTTGTTGATGAACAAAAAAATTAGCTGAAGACCTTGAGATTGAAAGTAAATATCCAAAAGTTTTAATCATTCCAATTGGTGAACAGAAAATAAATTTTTATAAAGTTAAAATTTTTTTTACTTTTTTCAAAGATGGATTTAGTTTTTAAACTTTTTAGATAAGTAAAATTTGAAAATTGTTTTGACTGCATAAAAAAGTCACATAACAAAATTGATATTTCAACAGGCATCATTTCAGTTTTATGGTTACATTGCAGTTAAATAATCCGGTCGTCGGCAAAACAAGCAATAATTAAATTTGAAAATAAATAGTTTTAATAATAAAATGTTTATGCAAAAAACTATTTAATTTTATGAACAATTTTTTTTTAAATACTTAAAACCATGTGATTTCTTTTAATTATACAATTTAAGGATCACAAATTCCCATCTGATTATCATAATCTTAATTTAACCCTTGACACGGTTTCTTTAATTTTTTTACAATAGTTAAAAAGGACTTTTGTGATGTAATAAATATTTTTTGCAATTATTGATTTTATTCTTATTTTATATTTTTATAATTATTGATTCTAACATTAGATGGTGCTTTGGTATTTTGCATTTTATTATGCAAAATACCAAAACACTAGAGCTCAAAGTTTAATTAAGTAGATAATTAAAAAAATTAAATTGTAAAAGCATAAAGAAAGTGAATAAATAGTTATTTGTTGATCATTTAAAGATGAAATAACTTTTTTTTCTTCTAAGATAAAAAGCTTAAGGCCCATAAGGGATTCCTGCATAGCCTCTGGGGTCTGCGCGTCACTGTTTGAGAGAGTTCTTGATGAAAAGGGGTTTGGATATTAAAAATATTGGAGAAGATATGTTATTAGAGTTTTCAGACGCCATAGTAATTATTTTGAAAAAAAAATTTAGAGGCTAGAAAAAAAAATCAGGCCAGAAAGAATAACATAAAAGCATTTTTAAATATTCCTAAAAATTTAAAAGGCTAGAAAAAAAAATCAGGCCAGAAAGAATAACATAAAAGCATTTTTAAATATTCCTAAGAACAATGAAAATTTCTTTATTTTCATTTTTCTATTGCTAAATTGCCAACACCAACAACATTCTCCATCTAACCCTCTGATACAGGCCATCATGGTGGTGGAATGCACAATTAAAGTTGTAGAAAAAATGTCTGAGAATGTAGAATACATACTCTGGTATTACTTGGCTAAGTGATACCAGAGTGTGTATTCTACATTCTCTACAAGCTCTATACAAAGCTCAACCAGATGAGCAAAATTTGGTGAAATGCATTTCTATTATCCTCTCATACCAATTAGGTATGAGAGGATAATAGAAATGCAGTTTTTAGAGCTGAAAAGTAAATTGTTAGAAAAAGAATAATTGAAAATATTACAGATGCTGTTGGAGATGTATTAAAGGGCTGGATAGAAAAGTACTTATAAATAAAGTTGTGGTGAAGAGTTGTCCATCTGTAACCAGTTGTAAAGTAGATTTAAATAATAAAAGAACAGTTAGTAGATTTATGAATAATAGATTTTTGATTTGTTAGTTTTCTTAATTTTCTAGATTTGAAACAAGAAATTTAACATTTTAAGGCTTGAGTTAAGTTAAGTTAAGAATGAGGTTAATGGATTTGAAAATGAAAATATAATTTCCCTTATTAAATTTATTGAAAGGATTATGTTTGAAAAACAATTTTGAAGTTATTTTGAGTTGACGTATTAAGACATTTTATGGTATTATGTTGAAATGTTTTTCTCTGGCAATAATATTGTTTCTATAGATCCAACAAATCACTTTATTTGTTATAACCAATAAGAATTTAAACTAATTCACTCATCATAAATAACAATAATTCAATCCAGTTCATTTATTGTAACTAACAAACAGTTCATACTAATCCATTTATTAAAAACAACTTGTTAATAACATTATAACTAGGTTCTCAAAAAAGTGTAGTTTTGTGGATTAAAAAAATATAGTTTTTTATAAAGCAAATTAAAATATCAGTACATAAATGTTCCTATATTCATTAAAAATATTTACCACTTGGGTTATTACATTCAAAAATTATATATATATATATATATATATATATATATATATATATATATATATATATATATATATATATATATATATATATATATATATATATTTAATAATGAATAAAAAGCAGCAGCAAGCTATAATATACTTGATGTATGTACTAAAGCCCCTGGCAGCAAGCTATTAAATGCTATTTCACAGTGCTAAGTGACTGTAAAGATTTCTTGGAGCACCTAAATAACTAATTTAAGAAAAAAAAAACATAAAATACATAATACAAAACATAAAACAGCCACATAATTGGTCATTTATTATACTTTTTAGAACACTATTGATGAGAAAGCTAGGTGGCAGCAGAAGCTAATAGAGTTCCCATTAAGGGCTCTTGTACTGATGGCACAAGTTAACGCTAGTATGTGGAAAAGAAATGGGTTTTCAATTCTTAATACTGTTATTTATTATCAGAACATTCGTTTTACTTGTGAGATGTATGACAGAGACATACAACTCTTACAGGTAAGTCTTTTTATCTGAAAAAGTAAATTCATTTAGATTTTATTTAGGTTATTTAATAAATTTTTTTTACAGAAGTTCTAATTTTATCAGTTTTTTTTTTTTAAATAAATTAGTAATACAACTGCCATTGTCACCATTATAAGTTTGATTAAATAAAAATGTAAACCTTAATCAACTTGATAAAAAATTATGTTATGCAATTTGATATTCAAAATTCTCTTAAACTCTTGATGTAAAATTTTTTTTTATAGCAATAGAGAAATTTTTTTTCTAAACTTTTTTAGTAAGAATACTGAAAAAAGAGTGTTGAATATATATATATA